CGGGGGGGGGTGGGGGGGCGCGTTGCCACCGGGACAAGGGACTGCCGAGGGGGACCGGGGGACCTGAGGGTGCTGTGCTGGGGACCGCTGGGGTAGGGGGCCCTGGGGAGGGCCAGGGGTGCCCCAGGGGACTGGGCTGGGCTGAGGAATCCTGCAAGGCTGGGGCTCTTCTGGAGCTGGGGCAGAGGGGAGCCCCGTGGGGGAGGGCAGCTGAGGAGCGCGGGGTCCAGGGGCAGGACTGGGGAGTGCAGGGTTGGGGTTCCCTGGGGAGCCGAGCTTTGTAAGTGGGTGTACTGGGAAGAATGGGAGCGGAGGGGTCCCCACAGTGAGAGGATTATGGGCTGAGGAATCCTGCAAGGCTGGGGCTCTTCTGGAGCTGGGGCAGAGGGGAGCCCCGTGGGGGAGGGCAGCTGAGGAGCGCGGGGTCCAGGGGCAGGACTGGGGAGTGCAGGGTTGGGGTTCCCTGGGGAGCCGAGCTTTGTAAGTGGGTGTACTGGGAAGAATGGGAGCGGAGGGGTCCCCACAGTGAGAGGATTACTGGGGAGCAGTGGGAGGAAAGGGGTGTCTGAGGGTAACACTGTGGGCCGTGCTGGGGAAGATGCTGGCAGTGGTGGTGAGGGGGTAGTGCTGTAGGGGCAACTGTAATACTGGGGAGCATGCTGAGGTGATGGTGGGGAAAATGGTGCCTGAGGCTTTGTCAGCGTATGTCACTGAAGTGAGGTTCCTTGATACGACTGGAAAGCATGTCTGGAAAAGATTGAGAAACGCGGTTTGTAAGGAGGGGCTGGCATACTTAGAATGGGCTGGTAGGTTCAAGGAGAAGTGCAAATCGAGGAGAGAAGAAAGCTGAAGGTAGCTCTTGGGGAATGAGCCAGGCTCTGAGAACCTCGAGTTAGAGCTGTTATGTTCTTGCTTGTCACAGTTGACCAGTGGATGAGAAAGCATTGCCTTCCCGCCGTGCTACAACATCCCAACCTTTCTCAATTCTGCAGAAGCGGATGTCTGACCATCCTGTAGGCATGGCTCACTTGAGAGAATTTGCCAGCCAGGTAAGGGGCAATTAAAAATTTGTTTTAAACTCTTGTATCAAGAGCAAACATAACACCCCCAGAAAATCACTTTTTGCCACTCTTTATCTCTGTTGTGCACATCTCAGCTTACTCCTGTTAGCCAGCCGGCTTGTGTCTTACTCCATGGTGGTGTTGGACTGACCGTGTTAGGGTGCTGGCCATATAGAGAGGGAATTATTCACCCAGTCCGGTGCCATTCTCTGAGGTTAACTTTGCTCTTCTCAGGGAGGCAGGAATCATTGGCTCTCCAAGTATTTTTGGGAGGGGAGGTCTAGAAATGGGAACAGAAAAGCTGTGTGTGCAGGCTGTGCCAGACATACCTTACTGAAGCATTCGTGACAGTAGCCTGAGGAAAACGGTGCTTGTAACCTTAATGCGTAAGAGGTAGTGATATCTGATACTGAACGTTTAACTCCTCTAAGAGAGGGATCAGCCTCAGTGGGTGTGGGTAAATCCTGTTGGTGTGATGACATTGTCAAAAGGGGAATGTGGAAGGATGATGTCATGACTCCGGACTAAAAGCTAAACCACATTAATAGTATTGGCTTGAGTCTTCTTTCTTCTGAATTTGGTTGTGGGGTGCGTTTGATTATTGGCAGATGTCAATACTGAATGTAGGTCTTGTTAAACCATGTGTTGTGGGGATCTTGGGCATTTTTCCGCTCTGCTCCTAGGTGTAGAATTAGAATACTGAAAGCTTTAGTGGTTTGAGATGGTGCTTTCTCCAAGCCTTTTCTGATTTAAAATTGATTTGCAATGCATATTAGTTCGCATGCTGTCTTTCACATAAACTGTTTCCCCAAAGTGTGTATGGAATTAAATGCAAATACAGTGCCTGAGTGAGTCATAGTACAGGGAGAGGAATGAAAGGAGTAGGAAAGGATACTGTCTGGTTGGGGCTGAGAACTGAGTTCTGTAGCTGCAGAGAAGGTTGCGCTGAAGCTTTTTTGTACACAACATTCAGTGATGAAGCTTATCAGAGTTCCAGTGGCCTCATCTCTGAATTTATTAGGTAAATATCAGGCATGTTCTCAGATTCTGTCATGCCATGACCCTCTGTCTGGTCCTGGAATAGGAAAGCAGTCTGTGTTGTTCGTTCCTCGGATCTCCTTCAGGCATCCTTGATGGGAGCTCGTAATGTGCGTAACAGAGGCTTGCTGGAAGGGCAGTAGGAATTGGCCTGAAGTTCTGTTCACCAGAGTTTAGGGAGTGGCGGGAGGTACTGTGAAAAACGGGAGACTAAGACTTGGATTGGGATGTCAGAGGCTTGACTTGTCTTGAATTCCCCATTCTGTTGCTGATGTGCAGGGTTACCTTCGGCACATCCCCCCGTTGCTTTACCTCTGTGCCTCCATTTCCCTGCCTCAGCCAGTTGGCTTGCTCTCTTTCCTTGGCTGCCCTTTGCTGTGTACATACAGCACAGCGGGCCTCCAGTCTTTGTTGGGAGCTCTATCTGCTAGGTGATGTATTTGCGTTACTGTGTTTAAAGCTCTGATCTGAGCTCTGTTTCTAGTTTTGTTGTTCCTTATGTGACCTTGAAGAAGCCGTTCAAGTTCTCTGGCTAAGTAATGCTCGCTCTCATAAAGCAAAAGAATACTATCTGCAAAGCAATCTGGGAGTCTCAGACAAATTCACATGTCTCAAAATGTCGAACACAAACTTCCCTCTTGTCCATACTCCAGAAGTTCAAAACTGCCTCAGGTTTAGCAGTTGAAGCAAGCTGTGCACTAATTTCATATAGACAGGGGAGGTTTCAAATGTTTCCAGATACAAAGCTGATTTCCTCAAAGAGAGCACAGTGCCTGCTGCAGATACCTCTGCTGGTGGCCCAGAGGTTGCTGTGTAGCGTGCAGTGTGGGTAAATGCTGGGTGGGAAGTTGGGGAGAAGAGGAGGCAATAAAGGAAAGAAGGTCAGTAGCTGAGGTTTATTAAAACCAACTTCTCCTTCCACTGTGTTTGGCGGAGGAAAATGATGTTTGTTTGACTGGGTGGAAAGTGCTCTAAGTAACACTAAATGCTTTGGAGGCTGCCAAACTCCTGGTCAGCTTCAGCTCTTAAAGTATTGTGGCCTTGACAATCTTGTTCTGTTACAGACCTACCCATACAGAACCGTGGTTCTGATTCTGACCTGCCCTAGCCCAAGGAACTCCCACTTCCACAAGGATTGAAGCACCTCTCCATGTTGTATGCAGCAGATGGAGGTGTGACTCTTGCTCACGATGCTGATTATGAGTCTTTTGAGAGTGAGATCCAGCCAGGCACAGCCCAGAGACATCTTGGGCAGGTTTAAAGGGTCTTTGCTTCTGTTCCCAACACACAGCTTATCTTTCCAGGTAGTAGCTTTGAAATGAGGGTAGATATTTACCCTTCTTCTCCAGTCCCCTCCCAAAGGCTGTGGATATCATGACTCTGCAGCTGGAGGTGGCAGGGCTGCCAAACCCATTCTTTCCCCATGAAGCAGCTGGTGTTATTGCCAGGCTTGTCTCCTAACACACTGCAATTTTTAATTCCTGATGTCTGCAGTGAGTTGCTCTGTTTTAAAACATGGCATCATCGGTCGTGATGGCAAACACCCCCACACCTGTCGTGACAGAGCATCCTTCTTTCCCGTGCTGTGAGATGAGATCCTGGAGGGTAGGAGTGGAGCACATTACAAGTAGATTGTCCTCATCCCTCTCATACCTATTCCCTCCCCTTCCTGCACGTACAGCCAAGATGGTGCTTTGTGTGCTCTCCCCCAAATCCTGTTGATGTCTGACTGAGCCATCTCCAGTGCCTGCCTGCTCTCAACAGGGAGAAACAGCGTGAGGCTTTTTCCTCCAGAGCTGCTGTGTAATTGACGTTCAGTCAAGCAAAAAGGTACGATGGGGTGACTATCCCTTAAAGGTTTTTATGCGTTGTAGTAGAACAAGGACCAGCAGCAGCTGGCCAGCGAGCTCTTCAGACTCCGGCCTGGAGCTCCATTTTGCAGCCCTGATGGGTTCTGTGAATGTGGAAGAAAATGGAAAGATCCCACGCTGGTGAGCAGTTGCAAAGTTGATAGATGCTAATAAGCTTCTTTGGGTTGCCTATGCTCATTTATGCAGGCATAAAGCATTTCTTCTGGATTCTCTTACTTGCTATTAATGAAGTTTTTCAGGTGTGTTTGTAGCTGTGCAGCTCCAGAACATGGATTTGCAGCCAGGGTGCTTCTCTGACAAGGCAACTGGCACAGAGATCAATTCATATTTAGAAAAGGGAAAGATCCTGCTTGTTACATCCCTCATTGCAGTGCTCTGCAGATGCAAATTTATCGGGGTAGGGAAGAGTTAGGCTACGCAGAATGTGTTGCTCTGCTCCCCACTGCTTGAGCCCCCGAATGTGTTTCTCTTCTGGTGGAGCAGTGCACTTGCATAGCTCTCCGTTCTGGGCATAACGACATTTGTTCTGCTCTCTGGTGAGGCTTGTATGCCCATCGATCTGAACATTGGCTCATCATCTGTGAGTTACCGTGTGGCAGCTCCAACAGGAACTTTTTTAATGGACCAGAGCTTCTGAGCACGTCCTGCAGGCTAGCATAATTTTATCTATCTTAATTTGTCATGGGAGTTCAGAATTGCCTCCATGAAAAAGCCACTTGGCAATGTCCTGTGTGGCATCCACAATGGTAGTTCACAAGGCGTTCTTCTGGGCAAGCATTGGCCTGCTTGAATTGGGGATGGGCCTGCTTCCTCTCGTGTTTACAGAAGGTGAAGAAATTCATCGGCAGACTCGCGCCTGTAGCAGGCAGAAGACTGTAACTGTGGATGGAATGACTCTCTGCCGCTTTGCCCCGTACTTGCTGTTGCTGGCTATGACTTGTGTGTTCTTTGGCAACTCTGTCAAGGGATGTGCACCCTCAGGTCCTCCATTGAGTTGTACTCTTGCCCTGTCACCTGGGAGCTCTGAGGCATTTCCAGATCAGTTTTGAGGTGACAGGTGAGAGGAAAGTAAATCCAGTACCTACAAACGAAGCTTCCTGTTCCAACCTAATGTGGTGGGCCTGTTCCTTCTGCCTGTCAGAGTTGTATAATTTTCCTGAGTCCCTTGGGCAAAGTTTCCATGTGCTTGTCAGGAAGGTTTGTCTCTTTCACCGCCCCTACCTGAACTGCTTTGTTCTGCAGAAAATGGGATAAACTGGCATCGAAGTATGGAAGCTTGTTTACGAAGCCGTCCATGATTACAGAGCCTGATACATGAAATGGTGGTTGTCCCAAATGCTGCCTGCAGTATCCAGTGCTCTTGTGTTTAATGCTCTGTTTTTTAAAGAATCAGTCCCGATCCTCTGATGTGCCATGCCAGGTTGAGGAGGGGAGCAGTAACTTACACCTTGCCATTTCTTTTCTCATGGAAAAATTACTTCTGTGGGAGGGGAGGAAGGTTTTCTTGCAGGGTTGCTTCCCTGCAGGATTCGAGTGGATAGCGTTTCCTTTACCAGCTGAGCCAGGCGCTTCCAGGAGGTGATACTCTTCCTCTCCCTCCTCCCTGATGCGCGGAGCGGCTGATATGGTGAGTGGCATTTTTTCAGAGTGGTAGGTGACTGTGCAGGGTAACGCCTGGGCCACCTTGCTGCCCTTTCCTCTAAGTTGATCAAGAGGTGAAAACTGCTCTGGCCCCTTGGGAGCCTGGACTAGACAGCCTGATCTCCTTGCGCTGCAGTCGTTGTCCTCATGTTATCTCCTGGCATTTCTCAAGCTCAAATCCTCTTCCTTTCCCCCACCTCCCTCTCTCCAGTCCCTGTTCTGTATCTTGAGTTCCTTTCATCTCTGCATATCCCTTCCAGTCTGTTTCCAGTGCGTTTGTTCAAAGTACAGCCTGTTTGGGTGTTGCCATGGATGCACAAGGATATTTGGTTATCCTTCTGTATCTTGGACTGGAATGCCCATGGAAATCCTGTCAAGTGAGCTGACTGTAAAGCTCACTCTGGGCCTGGCTTACTCCATATAGCGATGCACTGGGTACAGAAGGCAAATAGCCTGTAATGACTGGCTGACTTAATCACTGAGCAGCACCTAGGGCTGCTCGGTGATGGCCTGCTGCTAGAGCCTGGTACTAGATGGAAAAATGCAGCTGCCCTGTTCTCAGATAAAATCTCTGCCAGCTCAGGGCCCTTGCAAGGGAGCGGTCCCTCTGGGTGACGTGTTGGAGGTGAGACTGAGAAGTTCTGGGTGTGGAAAACTCACTGTAATGGCTTGGCCACTTCCTGTAGTTCAGGCCAGATTTTCCAGATTTTATTTTTTTAAACTAGACTTATTTTTTTAAAAAGGCAGAAAAATGAATCACAAAGAGCCTTTTAGTAGCATGAAGCAGAGCAGGACCTCCTGGTCTGCAGCTGGGCGGAATGAAATAGCATGAGAAAATTAGGCTGATTTCTTCCCTTTCTCATCCACACTCATCGTAATAAAGAGTTAACTTTGAAGCTGCTGTTAGAGTCAGTATTTGTCCGATGATGATCGTGTTAGTAGCTTCCCAGTTGATGTGCTTATCTAATGAGGGAAATGCTTTTGCATCTGGGCGTGCCAGCTGGAGGAGAGGCTGTTCCAGAAAAGCAGGTCTGCAGATGTAGTGTCCGTGTAGCTCTCCTGCCTCCTCCGGGATAGACAGGTGCCTGGCCTCCTTGCTGCCAACCTTCCAAAAGACATGAGGCTCCCTCTGCAAACATCTGAAGAGAGCTGGGCTGGGTGCTGCCCGGAAATCAGGCTGCAGCAGAGAAGCCAGCTAATGTGAACTGGTATTTATATTACTGGAGTATTTCACCCTCCAAACAAGTAGGGAAGGGTACAAATCTTCCAGCTCATTCCAGCCTTTGAATGCAGGAAGGCAGACTAGGGAAACAACCTTGTGAACTTCCTATGGCCTTGCTTGTGCCTGTTGTCTCATCCGGATCTTCAAAAGAAGGGTGGTTCTTGTACACCTTGCTGGCCTTTTTATTCAGGTGTGAACAAGAGCTTGCTTATGGAGCTGCTTTGGCACCAGTTTGGTGCCTGCAGTTGAGCAGTCCTGTCCCAAAGGAGCTGACACTTTCCATAGAGATACTTGCTGACATTCTCCTTCTGGGCTTCTCTCCCCTTCCTCTCCCACTATGGTCTACAGGGGCAGAGAGCCCATGTAAAACACTTCTTCAGTTCTTCTCTTCTTGGGTATGTTCTGTGTTAAGTTCTCAGCATGTGGAGACCGTTTAGGAAATGTGAATTTTGGGTGAGTTAACACAGTAGATGCATAGATAAGGAGATGAGCTGCCTGGGTATGTGTGGCGTTCTGCAGGCTGCTGCAGGACTTCATGGACTTTTTCCATCTCTGCTTTCTGGTTTAGCACTCCAGGGTGGATCCTGAGGAGCTGTTCACCAAGCTGGAGCGGATTGGCAAAGGATCGTTTGGTGAAGTGTATAAAGGGATCGACAACCGCACCAAGGAGGTGGTTGCTATCAAGATCATTGATCTGGAGGAGGCTGAGGATGAAATTGAGGACAT